GGGCTAATAAAGAAACATTATATTATTATACATTATAAAGTAATGCAATGCAGATTCCTAGCTATCAACAGGCAGAAGCTGTTTCTGTGTGGTAAAGTAATAAGAGCATAATCACAATTTTGGCTATGAAAATTCCTTCAAGTGCCTATGAGAGGGGGAGAAACCAGAAATCTGAAGCAAGTGGCTGGGATAGGAAAAACCCGAAGAGACAATGAAGGAGGAGGAAAAAGTGGGCTAAACAGATGGATATCTTGGCAATGTATTCCAGGGGAAGAGTGGAAGGCAGCAATCTGTAAATGAACCGAAATTAGAACTGAATTAGTCTATTGTTGAGTGGTTGCCATTAAAATAATGGAGAAATTAAAAAGAAATTAGTCAGTCATTTCGTGGTGGGGTTTGTGGTTTAGACGGAGCCTTGAAGAGAAAAAAGAAAGAAAGCGTGTGGAACAAACCTGTGCTTTCTTTGATTGCAGCTTTGATTACACTACAATAAATGTAATCAACAATCAAATAATTGGAAGAGACAAATGTTTCCTTTTCGTATCTGACCTAAAGCCAACACAAGTATTTAAATGTAAGTTTTGTATCCCCCCCCAAATTTTTTTAAAATACTTTGCTGCATGAAGTCTTTGCTGTAAAGATTTTTATCTCGTCCAATTGTGTTCTGTAAATTCATTGTTCAGCCTTGTTATCTCATGCTTACTTTTGTATCCACCCACTGAAATATTTTAGAAGCACACATGACTTGAATTGCACAATTACAAATGTTTTGTGACAATACAGATAAGGTATTTTTTTCTGACTCTGAATTATAGATTTATACCTGAACATAATTTACACCCAAGCACTGTTTTGGTTACTAATAAATAATAAATAAATAACAAAAATGTCTGTTTCTCAAGAATCAAGTTCTGTTTATTTCTCTTTAAATGTGTTTTAACATTGCTTTATGTTAACATACCCTTTTGAAACCTTAATCATTAGTTTATGGTTGTAGCCTATGATTCCTATGATATGATGAATATCAATGACAGAGCAGATTATTTTTAAGATCAGCTTGTACTGTATATCTCTATAGTGAGCAATAGTTTGGCAATTTAACATGGTAAATAATTAAATTATCTAAAATACATGACACTGTCAATTCCTGACATTAGAATTTTCCCCTGCTTCTGCTACTTACAAAGTTTTTTTGCAAAATTCATTATTCAGCTTGTAATAATTGTTTCCCCAATATAAATGAACTAATCAGAGGTAAATAAACCATTTTGTATGTAATAAAGTGAGATGGGCACAAACATATTTAACAGACATAATTGTGAAGTATCACTGTATTTGAAGCCAATTAGATATACAAGACTAAGATACAAATGTTAAAAGAAATACATTGGAGCATTATGAACAACTGGAAATGGCCCTAAATCTAATTAAGAAAAATTTAATTCAATTCACTCCGGCATTATTGTAAAGATTAATTCTTATTTTTAATTATTTATTATTAAGAATAAACATTTCCAATTTAATGGGTTGTAAAAAAGGTAAGGTTTTAATGCAATATTTCATGTCATAAACCTAAAATGTTGCTATTTATAGAAAAAATTGCCTCTACATTTCTTACCCAAATTTTAAAGCAACAAAAACATTTTATGATGTAAATCAGAAGCTAAAAGTTCAAATGGCTGAAATGCCCAAGGGTATTTAATTTTTGCAAATGAAAATCTTTTAACGTAGAGAACAGAGAGCTTACATTTTCTTTGGTGCTTAAGAATTCTATCCTTAAACGACGAGTCTTTAACGTGGCTCCTATTTATCAAATTTACCCGGTGGTTCTTTTAGATATTTTTATTTATTTTTATAAACAATCAAGAAACAGTAATCAAAAACAGTCCCTCCTAAACTTAGCTTACAGCTGCAATAATGATGGGGATAGAAAATATCTAAAAAAGTATAAAAAACACAATTAATCTAAGATAAATGCTGACTACTGTGATCTAATTGTCAGTATCTTGTCACTGTGAAAATGGACCGTGGAAAGTTCCGGAAAAAAAATGTTGAGAGTCTAGGAAAGACCACTGACGCCAAGAAAGAGCACCAGAGGTCAGTCAATGACCTGCTATTGTTTTTGGCAGCTGTAGGACCTGTTAACCACATCCTTTTTCCAAAACACATAATTTCAAAGATGAATCATCATGTAATAAAAGTAACTGTGGTCAGGGTGATATCTCTCTAATATCCCAGATAAAGAGGAAAAGATTTTCTTCCAGAATATGATCTTCTGGACATTCCCAGAAACAAGAAGGTTCCCACACTGCCCTGATTACCAATGTACAATACCGAGAACCACAGAAAACTTTTATGTGGGGTTAAATGCATTTTATTAGTTTGACATATTTCAGAATTGTTCCAGATGTGTTCCAATGTGATATTAATCTCATCAATGGATAGATCTACTGTATAAACAGGCTGACATAAATGGAAAGTGACTTCTAAGAATGCTGTAAGAGGAACTACGCCAGAAAAAATGTTTTTCACTAAACTTGATGTAAACACATTACATCTAAGGGTGTACTGTCTTTGTTTCCTCAGCAAATAGCACTAAGGGGATTAATTGCAGATGTGTATATAAGGTTTAAGGACAAATCCTTAAATGGACATTCCTCAGAAAATATATTTGAGGATGGCAAGTGCAGACCTTTATTTCAGAAGTGGAAAAGGATGCAGTACAACTGTGTTTATTTAATATATCTAAGTGGTTTTGTTGTTACCATTTTTCAATACTTCCATGACTGATATACAGTACATTCTAATTTTAAAACAAGAGTGTGTAACACAGTTAAAAAATTACAGACGAAAAAATAATTCTCATTATTACTGAAGATTTGTTTTCCAGCCTCCACAAATAACACCAATGATAAAATTTAATCTGACATCTTTATCTTAACACGCTTAAACTATGTATGTGGTCTGAACTCTGACTTTGACCTAGTAATCACTTTCCCCTGGTACTTTTTTGTGGTATTTTTTTTCTTCAGTATAAAGTCTGTGGGGAGGCATGATGACATAGTGGTTAACATGCTGCCTCTCAGTGCTGGGGTCCTGGTTCCATTTGCGGTTCCCTGTGTTTGGCGGGGTATTCTCATTCTCATTTCCTCCCACAGTCCAAATGCATGCTAGCAGGTGAATTGTCTTCTGGGAAAATTGTCCCCTGTGTAAGTATCTGTGTCTGTGTCTGACCTGAGATGGCATCCTGTCCAGAGTGTATCCTGGCTTGTTCCTGTTACTTACTGGGATAGGCTCAGGCTCCCCCGCGACCCTGCATTGAGAGAAATAGTTAGGAAATGAATGTATGGAAAAAACCTGAATAATCATCTGTAACAGGTTTATGGAATTTATTAGTAGAAATGAACCATTGAATAATGAACCATTGACTATGTACGAAGAAGGAAAATGAGTCATTAATGTGCAACCTCAAAGAAAAATAACATAAAACAAAACATGAATATTTTATGCTGACTAATGTTATATTAAAATTGAACAGTGTTTTAGACAGGTCCCATCTAGCATATTATGCATGAATTTGCATGCGGTGTTACAAAATAGTTGTTACTGCTCGGGTGCTTGTAAGAAGCAACTTACTAGCTCAAGAGAAGTTCAGAGAAGAAAACTTCATACTTTTCTGTGAACGATCTCTGCAAGCAAGCAAAGTTTCCCGGCTTCTGCAAGCAAACATGAGTTTCCTGACTTCTGGGAGTCAAGATAGTTGATATCACCCTCCTCTGCAGGTGTAGACCCAGGCCAAGATAAACACCATTGGCAGAAAAAGCAAACACTCCCTGCTGAACGAATTCAAAGCCCTTGCATGCAAGCTAAAGACAGGACACAGGTCAGTGGTGTTCTCAGGGATGCCTGTACCCTGCACAGAACCAGATGGCTATACTGACAAGCCGGTTCCAACAGGACCAGGAAACTCACTGGTTCTCTTGTCCTACCAGTTTGCAATGCATGCCAGCTAATATAATGTTTTTGAGAATACACTGCATCTCAGTAGAATGGATTTTGAACAGGCTCCTTAAGACAGGGGGTAAACACAACACATTTTCACACTCAGCCTTCAAACCTAAAGGCCCCACCTTCAGGATATGATTTCTGGGGTGCTTACAAATCTTTCAGTATTTGCAGTATCAGGTGGGTGTTGTAAGCTTTCTGTGAAGTATCACTTTAAGCAAGCTATGAATCCAGTGCCCTAATTAAACATGAGTTTCCTGACTTCTGGGAGTCCAGATAGTTGACATCACCCTCCTGTGCAGGTGTAGACCCAGGCCAAGATAAACACCATTGGCAGAAAAAGAAAAGGAGTAGCATGATGATAGTGGGCATTCTGGGTTCATCTAGAGTTGCACTGGCTGTCCAACTAGACACAGGCAAAAGATCATATTACTGGCATGATTCATAATTACTTGTTATTGCGGCATTTTTAACTTTAGTTATGCTCTCCATCTGTGTTCTATACTCCCTTCTTTGTTTGACATGCTGTACATACTGTATGTACAGCCTGATACCCCTGTCTTGTATGTAAACATGTGAATGGTTTTCTAGTGTTTTTGAGCTTTGTAGCCTGTGACTGTGTAGCTTAGATTTATGCATAATCTAGAAGTGTTTCTTCTTCACTTCTAGAGAACATAAATAACACAAAGTACTGTAATACTAGACTTAATAGAAAGAAACATCTGAAAATCCCTTTGGGTTATACAGTGAAAATGGCTGCATCAAATGAAGGAAATAATTGTGAAACCTAGGCTAGCAGTTCAGACTTCGAGGCAATAATGAGGATTAGTTTTCTGCCTGAAAAGTAGGATACAAATTAGTCTAACGTGATAGATTTATGTTTATGTATCAATTTTTAATACGTGTTTGATATAAAGTTTAAGTATCTTAAACTTGCCAAACTGCTTTACTTAAAAATACAAGTATGCAATTTGGGAACAGAACACTGAATACACTGCACTGAATATATAGTTTGACCAACATGAAATCTGAGTAAAATGTTTCTTGGTTATTTGTAAAACTGTTCCTGGAGTTATTATTTCTAACAGGGCCTCCAAATGAATAATATTTTTTACTGCCTGAGTTGGTTGTAAATCACTTTCACAAGGTAGACAGCACCTATGTAAGTCAAATACACGTTTTGCAGGTTTGATCCTTAAAAGTACTTTTAATAATACAAGCTGTCATCAGGTTGTGCATCAATTCTCATACTTTACCGTTTGACCATTACCGATTTGAACAGCACCTTCGGAAACAGACTGCTAATGCGAACAAATGTGAACCTCGCTTTTTTATTCAGATCAAAGGAAGAGCCACCTTTGGATAAAGGATTCGTTCCCTGGCTGGGCCATGCCATTGACTTTGGAAAAGATGCCGCCACGTTTTTAACTCGGATGAAGAGCAAACATGGGAAAATCTTCACGGTAAAGCCAGCTTTTTGCATAGTAGAAAAAGAGACAATATTTCACCTCCACCCCTGAGGCTGGCTAGTACATTTGCGATAAATTAATGTTCCAGGGCATGCTAAATGGAATAATAGCTTTTATAGAGTAAAGATATAATATATGATTTTATATCTATATTATAATATACGCATATAATGAAATGAAGCCAGGGTTGTAGTCACCTCTAGGTGTTTTTATTCAATTTACAACATACAGTTAAAGGTAATCTAAAAATTATTTCTCACACTAAAGCCTGTCGTTTCTTTTTTAGACGTGACATTTTATGACTTTTCATTTTAAGGACTTTTTTGTTCATTGTTTTGTATACCTGTGGTTTATTTTTTTCAGTTAATTATTTATGTACATGTTTAAAGGAAAGAAATTTAAACTAAATTAATCTCTTTAGCCTTGAGCCGAGAACATTACAAATAGACTTGATTCAAGTATTCATTAACAAAGTCAACCCAATGTTTGGGTTGTTTTTCAAACAGAGTAAAGAAAATTTCTTTACATAATGTGTGGAAGTAGGTTGGATGTTCTGGAAGAGATTCCTGATAATTCCAGCTTCCAGCTGCCAACCGAGTGAAATGGTCCTAAAACACTTGGCACATTTCAATCGGGTATTTAACATGTTTCTTTGTAAAGTAATGTTGCTCTGGTGCCCTCTGAACTGTCTCATATTCTTACTAGTGCTTTAGTTGTGTACTGTAAATCAAATCTATGGAATTTAATATATTTTACATTTAAGTGTAAATAGTGTGGAAAAACTTGATACATGTTATTAGATATTTAATGACAAATCAGTCACCACCATCAAGTTCTAATAATCTTCCTTCACATTCTGATGGCCTGATGGATGAGTAGACTCTGTGACACAGACTAGGTTATGGACCTGAAAATAAAGCACATAGAGCTGATTGTTTCTCACTTAAACAAGTATCAAGGCTTTCAAATGGATCAAGGGAATGAACATTAATAACATGCCTTCTAGTTAAGGTCCACTTCAACAATTAGTTCCTGATCCTCAATAAAAAGAAAATCTTATAAGTTCTGTCTTACACGCTACTATGTTCCACGAATAGGGAATTTAGAAAGCAGACCCAGTCACAGAAACTTTTTTCTGCAGGATCATAGAATTATTATCTTTTCCACCCACACTTTGGACAGCTGTGGTGGAGTCAAGTCGAGGAGAGTTTTGAAAATGTCCTGTATATTGTAATATATGTATAAAATTCCCTTTTCACATTAAAAAACATTTAAAATATCTGCCTCAAAAAGTCATATCTCTCTTATCTCTTGTGTGGGAAAAAAAGAAGAGAAGACCAATCAGGCTAAACAATAAGACCTTTAACAAGACCGCAGAAACGTAAATGGAATTTCTGAGTCAGAGTTTCTTTTCCACTATATTCAATAGAATACAATTTATTTCCTTTTGTGCGTGGGAGGTTCTGGATTAAAACTGGTTTTCATTAAAACTATTGTGAAAAACTAGGAAACCTATCCCAAGTATTCTGAAATTACACAAATCCTTAAGACATTGTCTCTAGTTTATTGGTGTTACCTCATTATTATGTTCTACCACATCAAAATCGCAGCAGGAATAACACAGGGATATCACCTAAATATTTTATATACAGTCCATGAACGTTTGATACAGGCTGCATAAAAAGTAAGGCAAAACTCTGAGACTAACCCTTATAACTACTTCTACTACACAATATAACCTTGTAAGAGTCTGAATTCAGATGAAGAGTGTATCATTTTCCTATGGCATTTGGCTGGACTTCGTTATAAATTTATAGCCACACTTTCAAAGTATGATTGTGTTATCTAGATATTTCTATTGTTCATAGTTACTTCTTTGATGATTACAGAACAGGTCTAGATGAAGGCACATTAAAGTGAATTCGACTGGGGTCTGTACTGCGTGTTCTTCTCCTGGTGTTCCTAGATAATAATGATTAATTCATGATTATTTACGGTGTCCATGAAAATTATTAATAAAGTAATGAGCGGGTTCCAAATCTCAGTCCAACATGCACTTGTGCTGATTTCGCAGGTACGTGTCGCCGGGCTGTATGTGACGGTCTTGTTGGATCCAAACTCTTACGATTCCATCATTAAGGATTCCACTTCCTTCGACTTCACACGTTACGCGCATGTGCTCATGAAAAGAATATTCAACCTTCATTTTCCACAGCATAACCCCGAAACAGAGAAGGCAATGATGAGGCAGTAAGTAACAACGTCTCTGCATATAATTAATAATCATTCCTTACACTTATATACAGTAGCTCTTGTCTGGACACTCCGCTCAAAGGGCTTTGCAGGTCATGGGGAACCCCACTTCCAGCACCAATGTGTAGCCCCCAGTTGGATGATGCGACGGCAGCCTTAATGCACCAGTATGCTCACCACACACCAGCTATCAGTGGGGAGGAGAGCAGAGTGACAACACCAATTCCAAGACGGGGATTATTAGGAGGCCATGACTGATAGAGGAAGGGAAGAAATTTGGCCAGGACACCAGGGTAACACCCCGGAGCATTTCGTGAAATGCCCTATGATTTTTAATAATCACAGAGAGTCAGGATTTAGGTTCTATGTCTCATCAGAAGGACGGTGCCTTTTTTGATACAATATTTAGTATAACTGTTATTACAGCTTAATTTATTAATTTTTTGTTGGTTTCTTTTGTTGTTATTTTTTTAGTTGATTTATATCAAAACCAATCCCCTGTGACTCAGTGAGGAAATGCGATCATTGCTGTAAGCAAATCCGGCTTGAATACGATGTGTAAACTGTTCTAGTAATGTGCCTGCACCAACGTGCCACGAACCCTTTAAGTTTTTGTGAAATGGAATCAATGGGAACACCGACTCTTAAAACCTTAGATCATGTTTATACAGCACATTTGGGATGATATTTACTAAAAATGTTTTCAACAATGATAAAACTCTGTAATCATGTGGGCTTACACAATAGGAGCAATGAAAAGCATTTTGGAGCAAACTAATTATTTGGGAATTTTATGGAAACTATAGCAGGTACCCACTTTCACTATGTATTGAATTATTGTAACTGAGACATTTGGTAATTAGCCAATCATTATATAATAATGTTATGTAAGTTAAAGCGTTAATTTACATTAAGATTAATAATGAAGACAACCATTGTTGATAAAAGTAATACTGTATTATTCACTTCTGAAAAACATGCAGCTAGTTAAAGACATTTTATTATGTATACAATTTTTCTGAACTAACATTCTCCTCTCTGAATATTATTACTGAAGCAAGTTGCTTTTTCCGTAAATAAATTAAATGGTGCTAATACAGTATTCAAAACTTATGTAGGCATTATAGTCCACATAGGAAGAAGTGGGAAATTAAGACCCACAGTGTTTGAAAAATAGGTCCCATTCATTTCAGACATTGAGACAGACATTAAGAACAAGCAAAAAACGTCCTAATCCCTGAAATGACAGTTGTGTGGGAAACAGCTAGGGGTCGTATTTGCTTCTTCGTAGAAACAGTTGCCATAACAGCTTTGCGCTTTTGTCTCTGGAGTTTTATTTTGGATAACTGAGGTTTTTTTTTGCTTTTTTATTTCTTTTGTCTTTGAACACTCCTACCTCTGTGCCTGTCCGTAGGCAGCACCAACGTGGAATATGAAAAACGAAAAACTAATCAGACAATCCAAAATCATTGAACTATCATATTTACCTTCAGAGTTGAAGAACTGGATTTTGTTCCACTTTGAAGTGATGATGCAATTGTGGGAGTCACTAAGACTAGATATGGCTACACATTGCACGAATAAACAATTAATTAGATTCCAGAAGTGTTGTATTAGTCATGGTGAAATGTTTATCGGGAGGGAAATCCCTAACCTTTCAGTATTTTGTTCCTACAGACATTTCCAGGATAAAAGCCTCATCACCCTAAACAGGGTCATGCAAAAAAACCTTCAGGCTCTGCTGATGTCAGAGGTTTGTGAAAACAAGAGGAACTGGAAAAATGACAGTCTCTTTAGCCTGTGCTACAGCCTGCTGTTCAGGTATGGAGTCATTCGTGGGTCAGAAAGGAAACTCAGACTTTAATCTAAACTGCTTGATAAACAATTTAGAAATGTACTTAGTAGAAGGAGATGGTTTATAAATAACTGAAGAGAAACAAGATAAATACTGTAAACAACTAAAACAAAGCTTAAAGGAAAATATCCCAGTTTTACGTTTGCAATGTTCTAGATCAGTGCTAAAAAGTGTTTTAGTTTTATAATGGCAAATTACTTTTGCACTGTTATTTAATTTTTCCACTTGTTACCTATCAGAGTATGTGTGTTCTATGTCATCACTTCTTGTTCTTCTAAAGGGATTTCCTAACTCTGACTGCTAACGGTGGCTGACAAGATTAGGAAAAAGTGTCATGGGGATGTGGAACACAGGACACTAGTACAGAAATGAGGCATTGAGTACCGAAGCTAGCATTACACAGATACTCTCCCTTCTTAGTTCTTTTAAATCCTTACATGAGGAAAATCTGCTTAAGTAATTAGTTAGATCAAGAAATAATCATAAAGTAAAATAATATTCAAATTAAATCCTGAATAATCTATTCAAACTGATATTTTGAACATAACTGAATATCAGTATTCAAAGGCCGGCAACAGGATATAGAATAATCTATTGCTATAACTCATAATAGAATTATCTATTACTATTACTGGAATAGTAATAATTCTAAAATCATATAAAACATGCTTAGATACTGTTTTGTTATTTGTGCAGGCTGTATCGCCATTGATGCCAGAAAATAACTTCAGGATTTTTTCAATTATATCGCCGACTGTACTCATAATTTTAAATGCAATCATTTTGATATAGTTTTTATTATGAAATAAAAGCTATATATTGAGAGGTACAGTACAGTACCAAAACACAAGAAATGAGTATTGGAAACCAATGACATTCTAGTAGGTAGTAGTAAGTATATACATATCCACAAAAGTAAAATACCTTTGTGTGGAAAAGCTGAAATAAAGACCTGACAAGTGATTAATTTATTAACAGATAGATCAATGGGCCAGTTAGTTGATTAATGGCTATTCTTAACAAGTTTGTTTCTTGTGCTCTTATAAAGTGTAATTGTGAGCTCTTGGTGTAGTTTGTTGGTAAGATCAGATTCGGTTTTATTCGACAATAAGTGAAACAATGCATCGTCAAGATACTGTCCCTGTATGATGAGGCATTTGAAATTTGCATTTCAAATGTTTTCTGATCACTTTGAGTAAATGTCATTAAATGTCATTGCACATTCCTTATGTTATTACATAGAGTCCTTTCCTTTGTTGAGCCATAGTCTTTTTGTAAACATTTAAATTGAATTACAGGTACAAGCAAACTTATTAACTGAAAGGTAAATACTTTCCAGGTCACAAATTAATAATACAGTGTAACCTTTAATATGACATTGCTGTCGTTCCTTCCACCCACTAACTTTATTCCTGTTTTCTCTAACCAGAGCTGGATACCTCACATTATTTGGAGATGAGCCAGAAGAAAATGGCAACATCAGTATATCAAAGGAAATTTTTCAAGAATTTAGGAAATTTGACGCGCTTCTGACAAAAATGGCCAGAACTACATTGAAAACAAGTAATTCTATATACTAAAACTGAAAAATGTTAACATTCAGCTTCTTTAAAAAAAAAAATATGTATAGACCTAGTTCCAATTTTTTTACTTCATACTTCTTTTTAAAAATGCATCAGATGTTCTTAAGAATTAAAGAACTGCTGCCACACACCTCATGTGCATACTGGCTGTTTAACACTGAACAAGCTGAAATATCATAATCTCGGAAGCTGTCCTCCTCAAAAAGCCATTTGTTTTTTTCATGTTTCTATTTGTTTTGTCATTAATACACTTACAGCATTTAAAAACCGACAAGGACATCTCAACATTAAGTGACAGTCATCTTAAAGAAATAAAGAAAACATAGAAATCAAAATTCTTTCAAGAACATGGAACATATTTCTTTACCTGCAATCTATGAGGTTATCAATCAGTTGAACTCACACTGTAGGCACAGGGCACAGTGCAAACAGAATTTTTCTTAACAATAGTATAGGAATAAGGTGTGTCCAGTTCAATGTAGCTGATCCAACCTGCCCTGCATGTTTTTGGGTGGTGGAAGGAGAAAACCTGGAATAAAGCCCAGGTGTCAGGAATTTTAGTTCAGTTGAATAAATTCTTATTTGAACACTGTTATCAATAGACAATCAAGAAAAAAATCATTTTCTTATCCCATCAGTCACCATTAGGTTGAAACACTGGTACATATGGTATATACTGTACAGTACTTATACTGCACCTTGAAACTATTGTACACTTCAAGAGACCCTTTCTCTTTTAAACCAGCAGTTTACAGCTGTGCAAATACTGTACTTTAGATGCTTTGTTTTCGTCACTCAATAATTTTCCTACTTTATGCAAAAATACAATTCTAAGGTGATATCGCACTGAATTTGTGTTTTAAAGTTACAATTAATCCTTATAGATCTGCATTTTGCAGTACAAAAAGCACCTATCACCTTTAGGGAGGAACAAATGATGTCAATGGAGTGGAATCAGTACTCCTAAAATGAGTAAATTAGGTTTGGCTAGTTAACGTAGTAGAGACGCTGCTACACTTCATATTGGATGCCTGTACTGTACAAGAATTGTTGTGATCACATTTTGTAAAGCTTCAGGCAATATGAATTAAAGCTTAGTATCTTTAGATACTTTAGATGTGTATCTTTAGATACTAGATAGAGTAGGGGTGTAACTTGGCCAATTTTTTTCCCATTTGCCCTTACCAATCATGGCTTCCTAATAATCCCCATCTCTGAACTGGCTTCATTACTCTGCTCTCCTCCCCACTGAGAGCTGATGTGTGGTGAGCGTTCTGGCGCACTATGGCTGCCGTCGCATCATCCAGGTGGATGCTGCACATTGGTGGTGGTGGAGGGGAGTCCCCGTTACCTGTAAAGCGCTTTGAGTGGAGTGTCCAGAAAAACACTATATAAAAGCACTATATTAGTAAAAGCAATTATTGTTATTATTATTTTCTCAACTATATTGTTTTAATAACAGTTAGAGTTTTATAACAGTAGAAACACTAGGGAGCCATTGAGTATATTGGCGAATCTCATGTATATATAAATGGTCAGTTCTGGTTGTTTCTAAGACTCTTGCATAGCAGTGTTTTTCTCACAGTAACTTTTATAATGCTAGTGAAGAAAAAGGCAAATCTGGCATGATGCTAAAAAATACCTCCATCCCTTAAAGGACTGGGCTTAAATAACAATGAACTTCTAAATGCCATGTATATATTGTTGAGATGTAACATTTCTTATATCCTTCTGATTTTGGTACATTGCCAGTACCTGTTTGAAAAAGTGGAGTGAATTTCATTTGTGACGACACTTCTGACATGAATGAGATTGAAGAACCTTTTAATTCCTGCAGTGTGGTGTTACAGTAGGGGTCTTTAAAAGGCAAACGTGCTGTATTTCAAAGGTAGAAGAGAACAGTAAACAAAGAAGCTGCAGAAAATTTGTTTCCTCCTGGCCAGACTCAAGGAATTCCTGTCAGGCGTCTTTCTGTTTGTTAAAATATCAAGATTTGCTGATTGTCCTGCCAAAGTTATTTTCACATAGCACACTTTGCAGAGTAGCTGACATATTCCAACAGAAGCATGAAACAGAGAAAAAGAGAAGAAACAGATAATTCCTCATAGCCGATAGGCAATGACACCTCCACTGTTCAAAGTCACTGCAGATATGCTGGGATGGCTGTGTTTCTCATCTTCATCTCCCTTTCGTGACAGATGAGAAGAAAGTAGCCAGCACTGTCAAAGAGCGTCTTTGGGATCTTCTGTCCCAGAATAAGTTGAACTCAAAGATGAACCCAAGCTCCTGGCTGGAAAGCTACAGACGTTACCTAACCGCTCAGGGTGTTGATCAGAAAATGCAACAAAGGGCAATGTTACTGCAGCTTTGGGCCACACAGGTACTGTTCGCCATTTTATTTCCTTCCTTTAATGCTGCCCATTTTCTGTCCTTTTTTTTTTGCTCTTAATTCAGGTTTGATTTCTTTAAATACAAAAATATAGAAATTATTATGTCCAGTTTTGTTTTCAGCAAAAACCTTTGGATTAAACATCTATATACCCTGTTGGGAATGGAACTGTTAAAGAATTTAATTTAATTTCTTCCTAAGGTGCTGCGTTTTCTTCCTAGGTTTATCAGTTTTCATATTCTCTATACAAATGCATACCTAAGAGCATTCACTCGCAGAATCTGCACATAGTAAATGATCAATTTCAAAGATTTTTATAGAATAAACAAGATAGTAATGAAGAATGGCATATGCAAGTCTTGAAGTTTATATGTTTTTATTTGAAATGGCTTTTTATTTATTGAAATTAAAACAATGTGCCTGTACTCACAAGGATACAGCACACTCTTTAATAGTTAAACATATCGACTGGTTGCCTTTCTCAACAGTATCTTGCATGGTTACAAGAAAATACCATTTTATGGAGTTCACATACCAACAGTCCTTGCCTTGGTTTGAAAGTTTAGCATCTAATGGAAATTACGAGATCCCATAACAGAACATTTAAAAATTCCATGAGGATCTGGCATGATGACGGTTGGTGTGAAGTAGAGAAAATAGGCAAAATCGCAAGGTCACAGCCTCACTGCCTCAGATGCGCCTCAGAAGTAATGTCAACTCTTGTCCTCTAGATGGAGCCCTGTGACTCCAAAAGACCAGGTGTCCTTTGTCCTTGACCAAGGTGCTACTTCTCCCAGGGGGGTGCAACTTTACAAGTTGGCTTCAATTGGAGATGACAGCCTGTCTCCTACCATTTCCATTGCTCCGCTTATCACCTTTTACTCTGTGTGCCTTAGCAAAGAAACGCAGGCTCTTGTCGGAAAGACTTTTACTGCCAACAGACAGGCACCAGGCCTGGAATAAGTGTGCAAGCAAGACTCAAAGAACACCATTATTTGCAGCTGACAGAATGAATTCGGGCTGGCAGATCAGGCTGCGTTTATAATTTCACTCTGGGCAAAACTGACAGATATCTCAAGTAAAAAGACAGTTGAGCTAATTCAAAAAATATATCAAATATATACTAGCATCTACAATGCACCTGGATCCAGCCATGTCTTGACATCATATGATGGCTCGAAGACTGTCTGTGCCAAATACAATATATTCTGCCTCTGTGGAAGTGAAATTCCACTTCTTGTAATACACTGCCCAAGTAAAAAACTCTGGCAAGTCACTTACTGGCTTAAGGGCTCCTGGGGCTATTCTGAAGGATCGTGGTCTAGGTCAGCAGTCCTCAGTTCTCACCCTGGAGTGTCCGTGTCTGTGGTTTTTATCTAACTGAGATCATAGTCACCAGTACTAATTGCTGCCTGTAGTTTTTCCATTCCAGATGCTGTTTTAATCTTTTCTTCTGCTCTTTAACCAAGTTTAACCAAGTACAATGGTTCTCAGTTCTGGTCCTGGGAAGCCTCTCTGTTGTCTGTTTTCGAGATGTCATTTAAAAATTTGACTTCAGCTCTTAAAAAAGCTGAATGGGATTTGTAATTGGTATAAACCCTATGTGAATCAGGACAGCCTTCACTGAGGTGTCCAAAGGGAAATACAACCAGTTTGACTTAAGCATTAGTATTGTGTCTGTTCATCATCAATTGATCGCTTATTAAGCACCATTTAGTCAGAAATTTAGTCAGAAATAATTGTGCCAATTCTAAATGATCAACCTGAGGAGAGACTGTAAGTTCTATGTATTTAACATGTTCCACTTTAACTAAGGTATATTTGAAACCAAGGACTAAGTGCTGAAAAATTCGAAACCAGCAAGCAGATCAGTTACAGGTACCAGGTAGCTCAGGGGGATAAGGGCCCAGTTGGAACACAATCCAGCAGACACAGGGATTAATCTATCACCGGGACTGAAAACCACTGTTCCCAGTGATGTTATGTGATCCACATAAAAGCTCTAGAATTACCAGTGTAGATATTGTATTGGAACCTCTAAACTTTAACAAGAAAATATTGTTCACTGCAAACATTTTAATGTGCAAACTGTCTGTCTACTAAAGAGAACCTGTTGAACTCTTTGGCAGAGATCTGCAAATGACAAGCATAATAAGCTGAACATAGCCTCTCATAATTTATTATTGTACTGTCTTTACTGTATTTTACTGTGTATGTCCAACAATCCTGACACAGACTGTTATTATAGGGCAATGTAGGCCCCGCTGCCTTCTGGATGTTGGCATTCCTATTGACAAATCCAGAAGCTATGACAGCTGTGAAGAACGAGTTTCACAAATTAACAGCTGAAGTCAACAGGACATGCAAAGTACAGACTGTCAGGCCAGAAATGCTTGAGAAGACACCAGTGTTTGGTAAGTTTGAGTTAAAATAATTTTTCTAATCATTATTGTAATGTATAAAATATTGCTTCAGAACTACTGTAGTAATGTACTTTCATGGATGAAAGAACTTGGATAAGCTCTGTAAGACAGGATCTGCCCTGGGTAGGCTGTGCAGTCACTCAAACTTCTGGGCTTAACTGCTGTGAAAATGAAAAATCTGAAGACACAAAAACGGCCCATCTTGATTTACACTTGGGCAATATCGTATATTCTTTGACTTAAAGTGATTCTTGATCCTTTCTTTTCTTTTGAAGACAGTGCTCTGAATGAAACCCTCCGACTGACAGCAGCCCCTTTCATCACCAGGGAAGTCCTTCAGACTAAGACCATCAGATTAGCAGATGGAAGAGAGTACAAACTGAGGAAAGGAGACAGGATTTGCCTTTTCCCATATCTCAGCCCCCAGATGGACCCAGAGATCCACCAGGAGCCCAAGGTAGTTAAATATTCCTCTTCCTCTGCTGGAACAGACTATTGCAGCACCGCTGTGTTGAGTTTCTAAAGGAGATTTGACCATTTCACACAGGATTTGATTGATGAACCTATGCTGGAAATGCTTTCCACATATGGTCAGGCATTTTTTTACCACAGCATTAGTTAACTGTGGATTGTAAAGTGCAGTCATTTTAGAACTGTATTGCTTAGTCCATTTTTCAAATGTTAGCGATCAAATGTTTGTGAGCTCATCCAACCTAAAAAATAAGACAAAATCTTATTTTTTCCAGTTTCCAGGTTTCGTTTGAGTATCCCAACTGCAAATGTAAAAGTACATTAAAGCATCTTTCACAAAGCTGTCTGCTAGACATCATGAAATATCTGTATTAATATTTAGCAATTTCCAGTTCTAAAGTTGCTCCTGAGGATTTTTCTTCGTACAAGTGGTGATATTGTTGGTGTAATACTAAAGGTTTAAATTGGATTTCTTTAGCATTGAGCACTGAAATTTGGTGGCACAGTGCTGTAGTGGTTAGCACAGCTGCCTCACAGCTCTTGAGACCTGACTTCAATTGTTGGCTGTCAATACAATCAAATTTAATACACTGGTGCCCTTTACTCAATTCATGGACACTGTGAGAGGTTCACGTAGAATTCATTGATGTGTTGGACCTGTACACAGCAGTAAGAAAAGCTCAAATAGGGCCACTGTTCTACCTCCCCACCTCCACCTCATAGAAGTTCAAGCTGGTATTGTTTAATTATTTTATTATTTATTTAGGTGATAACAGTATCCAAGTTAACACAGGAAAGGACTGCAGAAGTGCATTTCTGCAGCTATGGAAGATGTCCGGCTCACAGTAGCCTCAGCCTTTTTTACTGAATCTAGGCTGACATCTTCAAAATGATCAGACGGGACCACGGTACAAATCAGAACACAAAATAAAAATCAAAGACTTGTTTTCTCTTTTTAAATCAAATGCTTTTTTCAGAACATTGATATATGTTTTCCAGTGGCAAGTGTTTTCAAAAAGCACCATTTCACAAATTCATGGGCTGATTTCTTGAGGACAGTGTCACTCGAACCCCTTTTCTGCTTTGTCCTGGCACTGTTACGTTGCTGAAACAAAGGCTTGCAAGCAGAAGGAGTGTCATTTCCAAATGGCTATAAAAAAAATGATAAGTTACATTATCTCTTTGCCACTTGCTTTTTTTTTTAGAAGTTCAAACATGACAGATTTCTGAATGCAGACGGGACAGAGAAGAAAGACTTTTTTAAAGATGGGAAGAAACTTAAATACTACACAATGCCATGGGGAGCTGGGAAGAACGTATGTGTTGGCAGATCCTTTGCTATTAGTAGCATCAAACAGTAAGTATCAAAGACTGACTGCTGTATGGTAGTTTTCCAGAAGTGTAAACTGGGGAATGTAATGGTGTTTTCTTTACTGCAACATAGATATAAACATAGATATAAAGAACATGACCCCGAGTTGCTTAATTTTGACAATACATCCTTCTCTTGTACTGTATATAAAGATGCAGTGTACATTTTCCTTTTTTTAAAAACACCAAAAGACTAATAGTGTAAGGCTGATGTTACAGAAGAATGAAATAATCCCCTTCTGTAATTTCAGGTTCATCTTTATGGTTCTGACCTGCCTGGATATAAGGCTCTGTGATCCAGGGTCTCCGATGCCGGATATTGATGCAGGTCGCTATGGGTTCGGAATGCTGCAGCCACAAGGTGACCTTGAGATTCAGTACAAACTGAAAAGCCATCTCTAACGGCTGGCAAAACAGCATGTCACCTCCACCATTGCTATCACTTTCAGTAAACACTCATCCAATTCAGGGTCACAGTGGCCTGGAAGCACAGGGCACAAGGTGGGGTACACCCTGGATGGGACATCAGTCCACCACAGGGCACACAGAGAAACACACACTCCCACCTGTGCCAATTTTAAAGAAACCAATTAACCTACCAGTATGTCTTTGCACTGTGGGAGGAAACCCATGTGAATGTGTGGAGAACATGCAAACTCCACACTGATAGCACCCCAGGAATTGAACCCAGGGCCCCAGCACTGTGAGAGAGCAATACTAATCATTGTGCCACCGTACTGCTTTGTTGAAACATTGAACAATGAGTAATTTAATATTGTTGTAAATCATACTGATATTTATATCACAAAGTTGTATTTTATTCATCACATTGTAAATACAGTATATATAGATATGTTTGTATTATTTTAATTATGTCTATCTCTAATAAACATCTTTTTCATGCTACACATTAAGGAGATATCTGTGAGTTGTTTTTAAAGTCTAGAGCCTGGCTTACCTGAAACAAGATGATATTAGTACACTCTATAGATAATGTGATTTGCATAGATCCATAGAAAATGTATAACTCTTAGCTTTCTGTCTTCCTTGTAAACCTGCAGAAGTGAAGAGAAGGAAATGTAGTATCTGCATTGTCTAGAGCTACTAAAGGACACAACCATAGAAAACACACCTCTAGTTCCATACTGTACATAGCTCGCGCAAATGACAGAATTCAAGGACCACTACTTAAAAAAATAAAAGAAAGCCAGCTGTTGCAACCAAAAGCCAAATAATTTTAGCAATGAGCTGCTGAAAAACTAGCCTGATGGAAAGATCGGTCCTATATTAGTCCACAGTCCACTGGCGTCTCACTCAAACATCACTGAAAAATCAGAAATCAACCTACAAGATCTGAAAGTAAGAACTGTCAGTATGACACTTTGCAGATACCGTATAATCTGATCAGCAGCAAAAGGGCATGTCATTTCAGGGAAAAAAAAGCAAAAATTATCCACTATTCTATGTTCCTACAACAAGGATCATCGGAAAAGCATCTTGGTTTGTAGCATGTGAAAGGAAGCATTCAGTAAGATCATGTCGGATGCCATCTGTCAGGCTGGCTGTTATCTGTCGGTGAGAAATACAAAGCCTGCGTTCACACCCTGATCCAAATGGTGTTATTGATGGACAGTGTGCTTGAGCTGAAGGTGTTAATGAAAAGCTTCACATGTGAAAGTGGGCAAGCTGGAAGCTTTCACAGAAAAGATAAACGTGTTTCTAAGGATGAGTTTGCAAGGAGGGCTACAGTTCAGTGGACAGAAAAGCTTGGTTTTGAGCTTCTAGCCCACGCACTTCAGTACAGTGACCTTCAAAGATGAGAACAAAGACCCAGAGTAGGTGCAGGAAGGGCTCAGGGACCCATCAGCATTTTATTACAACCCTGTGAACCAGTGGAGCACATTGGGTAGAGATATCCGTTCTCTTAAAGGTTTCATTCACAAGCACAAAGCAGAAACTACAGTATTGCAACATTTAATTTGAAAGGCACGCTAAATGTGAATAGATCCAGTTAGGATTCCAAAAATATACATTTTCTAGCTGCTTCATCCAATTCAGCGGGGGAGTCGGAGCCTGTCCTAGCAAGCATACCTGGATTGACTGCCAGTCTACTGCAGGGTTCATGCACACAGACACAGACGTGCACAAACTTGCACCAGGGCCAGTTTTCCCACTGGGAAGCTCATTAACCTACCAGTATGTCTTTGGCCTGTGGGAGGAAACCAGAGCTCCTGGAGGAGCCACACAAACATGAGGAGAACATACAGTACAAAGTCCGCGCAGATAGCACCTCAGGGCTATT